ACGGTCACGGTCTGCGCATGCTCGTGTAGCTGATAGAAACTTGAAAAAGTCATCCTGACTTTTTCAAGTTGCATTCACAAATTCAAAATGGCGTCTAGCGGAGGATTCGGACATGGCGGTAAACGCATCAACTCAGGGCGGAAACGAAAGGTTGAGGACAGAAGGGAATACAAGAAAGCGTGGCTGAGAAACCATATTCTACTACACATTATTATTGGAATACGGGTAAGCCTCGGGCAAACTGTACGGCTTTCATCAATATAGGTAGATGACGACTGCTCGTTCGAATTCTGAAGAAAGGGAATACACAAATTGTTTCGTATGCTTTTTGGACATTCAAGCCACAAAAGATGTGAATGTATACAACTCTATAGGCAGGTATTCAACTTTATATGCATACCCTGTTTCTGCAAGGTTTATTACATGTTCCACATTTACATTCATCTGTCCACAGCACGTTTCTCCCTTTGCATGGGCACCCACGAGAACTATTTTCTTAGCGCTCCGTCGTACAAGCACTTTTACATTTACAAAAGATCACCGAAAGTTCCTCAGTAAAAGAAATTCACTTTCGTGAGCATTTGCTTTGGATAAACTTGATTTAAATGCAAAATATATGTAGAATTCTTCAACTCACCAATATTTCCACAATGGCAGTCGAGCACATACAGTCTCGGAGAGGGTGTATGCTACTGCGCTTGTTAACCCGTGACAGTGTCCATTTAATTGTCATATATGTAAACATAAATAAAGTTCCGTCCTTTGAAACAGCCTTAACTTTCTCACCGTTTTCAGCCTTAGGAGGTACAATTTATTATTTTATCTTATTCATTAACAACCGCGAGGGGATTAAAAACTTTTTAGAAGTTTTCTCTTGGCGGAATATGTGACAAAGAACGGAGCCTTCCTAGAAAATCACCCTTCCTTAAAAAACCTACTGCAGATATTTACTGGTAAATTGACTTTTAATCACGATTATTAATAGTCATTTGCAATAGGTTCTGATAGGTATTTTGAACACTTTGATTACGTTGGACCTTGCTTGCCAAAAATTTCTCTGACCTAGCAGCCATATATTTAATTTGCTATCCATCTTTGACAATGTAAATTGACAATCGTGGAAAGTTTCTGAAGGGGACATTTCGAGCATTAGCCCTTCGTCAGAGCGAATCTGTTTTGGTGGTTTGCTTACATAGTTGAGTATATTTACGCAAAAACTCTCGAACATTCTTTGTTTGTATTCTTCGAAGACTGCCTCGAGAATTCCCTTCATTTCAATAGGCAAGTTGCGCACACTTAGTATTACTATGGTGACGTCAAACCAGCCAGCCAATCAAAAAGCACAATTTGTAACCTTTTACACCTCTCATAAATACGCCTTCGTAGTTGAAGAGAACATGACGAGCCGTCTAGCAGCAGTTATCTGTCGAGAACTTCACTGGGCATTAGATCTCTCGTATATCTACAAATACAGGTAAATGGTGGTTCTTTTTTTTTTCTACCGTTTGAATATAGTTTAGATTAATTTGCATTCTCTGCCTCAAAACAAGAATGAAACTGCCTAACGGACTGTTCCTAGATAAATATCTTGAATATATCAACAAAGTTGAAATGGTAAATTGGCCACCGTTACGATTATAAAAGCTGACGTTTCGAGCGTTAGTCCTTCGTCGGAGCGAATAGAGGAATTCTGGGTTGTGTGTGCTTTTAAAGGCAGAAAAAAAAAGCTACGTGTTAGGTGGGAACATGGCAACGAGAAAAACACGAATAAATGAGTGGAATGAAAAGCTTTCGTTGATACCTGTGGGATTTAGACTGCCGCTTTGAAAGATTAGCTTTTGTCCAAGAGTTTTCCGGCTTTCCGTGCTACCTAAGTGTAAGGAAAGACCGCAGATTGCCATGTGTTGCATAGAATGATTAGGTAAACTAAAATGTCTAGCGACTGGTTTTCATGTGTCCTTGTCATTTCTCTCCGTGTCGCGAAGGTGTTCTCGGAATCGCATGGGGTCACCTAGTCTTCAGCCTGTTTCACCGATGTAAATCTTTTTGCAATAAGTACAAGTTATGTAATACATTACATTGGCGGAGGTGCACGTGAAGTGATCGGTGATCTTAATGGATCGTTTGGGTCCCGATATTTTCTCAGTGTTGTGAATGAAAGGACACGTTTTTCATCGTGCACGAGCGCATTTAAAGGTGCCTGGTTGGTCATTAGTCTGAAAAGAACTTCTGACCAAAAAATTGCCTATGTTTTTGTCGCGTTTGAATGAAATGAGCGGAGGCTGCGAAAAGATAGTGCTCGTCTCTGGATCGTTTTGAAGTAATTTAAAGGTTTTAAGAATGATAGATTTAACTGAGTGATTGTGAGGGTGAGACGTGAGAGTGAATGGAATGCGGTCGGAATCTTCCTTTTGTGACGTTTGTAGTGCTGAATGTCGATCAATAAGTTGGGCGCGGTGGTAACCCGCTTGAACGACAGAATCAGGGTAACCACGTTTATCGAAAAACTGGCACATTGACTCTGATTTGTGGTGGAAATCAGAGTCATCACTACATAAACGACGAAGTCTTAGAAACTGAGAAAAAGGAATGGAATTCTTAACGTGAGATGGATGCGAAGACGAATACAACAAGTAATTATGCGAGTCTGTAGGTTTGTAATACACACTAGTGCATAAACCGTTGCCTTCAATTGAAACTTTGATGTCTAAAAAGGATAAAGAATTGTCAGAAATTCCCCAGGTATATTTCAGAGCCGGGTGAAAAGAATTGACTGCGGTTATGAATTGAGTCAGCTCCTCTCTGGTAGAGGAGGTGGCGCCGATACAGTCGTCGATGTAGCGACCGTAGAGTTCAGGTTTGGAGCCGTTGTATTGGCTGAAAAATTGGTGTTCGACAAAACCTACAAAAAGATTGGCATAGCTAGGTCCCATTTTGGTACCCATGGCTACACCATTGGTTTGTTTGAAAAAGTTGTCCCCGAATGAAAAACAATTGAGTGTGAGCACTAGTTCGGCTAAGCGTAGTAGTGTTTCAGATTTAGGTTCCTTAACAGTACGTTGATCAAAAAAATNTACGGCTTTCCGTGCTACCTAAGTGTAAGGAAAGACCGCAGATTGCCATATGTTGCTTAGAATGATTAGGTAAATTAAAATGTCTAGCGACTGGTTTCGATGTGTCCTTGTCATTCCTTTCCACGTCTCGAAGGTGTTCTCGGAATCGGTCACCTAGTCTTCTGCCTGTTTCGCCGATGTATATCTTTTTGCAATAAGTGCAAGTTATGCAATAGATTACATTGGCGGAGGTGCACGTGAAGTGATCGGTGATCTTAATGGATCGTTTAGGTCCCGATATTTTATCAGTGTTGTGAATGAAAGGACACGTTTTGCATCGTGCACGAGCGCATTTAAAAGTGCCTGGTTGGTCATTAGTCTGAAAAGAACTTCTGACCAAAAAATTGCCTATGTTTTTGTCGCGTTTGAATGAAATGAGCGGAGGCTGCGAAAAGATAGTGCTTGTCTCTGGATCGTTTTGAAGTAATTTAAAGTTTTTAAGAATGATGGATTTAACTGAGTGGTTGTGAGGGTGAAACGTGAGAGTGAATGGAATGCGGTCGGAATCTTCCTTTTGTGACGTTTGTAGTGCTGAATGTCGATCAATAAGTTGGGCGCGGTGGTAACCCGCTTGAACGACAGAATCAGGGTAACCACGTTTATCGAAAAACTGGCACATTGACTCTGATTTGTGGTGGAAATCAGAGTCATCACTACATAAACGACGAAGTCTTAGAAACTGAGAAAAAGGAATGGAATTCTTAACGTGAGATGGATGCGAAGACGAATACAACAAGTAATTATGCGAGTCTGTAGGTTTGTAATACACACTAGTGCATAAACCGTTGCCTTCAATTGAAACTTTGATGTCTAAAAAGGATAAAGAATTGTCAGAAATTTCCCAGGTATATTTCAGAGTCGGGTGAAAAGAATTGGCTGCGGTTATGAATTGAGTGAGCTCCTTTCTGGTAGAGGAGATGGCGCCGATACAGTCGTCGATGTAGCGATCGTAGAGTTCAGGTTTGGAGCCGTTATATTGGCTGAAAAATTGGTGTTCGACAAATATAAATATCGTATGGGGAATTATGTATTTGTGTGCAACGGTTCGGCCGCCTTTCTGGAAACCCATTGTGAAGGAGATTGATCTTATTCGGCAAAAATGAAAACGTTTCCTTGTGACCAAATATACGGGAAGACTATGACATGATCAGCTCCTAAGTGTGTCACAAAAAGGAGATTCAATAAAATGATTAAAATGAGTTTTGCAATTCAAGAATGAGGTGCACAAAGGCGTGATATCAGATTCATAGCCACTTTCATGTTTGTTATTAACTCTGATGTGATGTCCTGATACTCAGATATTTTTTAAAACCCATAGCTACAAGTATTTGTAGTTTCTAAATTGGATCAAAAGCCTACGATGTAAAGACCATGGATAAATGCGGAAACTTAAGCAGAAAGAAAGTACCATCAAGTAACCGTTCAATACACGACTTTCTCGTTCAGTTGAATCACGAGCCATAATTGTACTTTCAGTTTCTTTGGTGATTATTCCTAAAATTTTGTGACATCAATACAAGTCTCTTTGCTAAATTGCATAAATGAAAAATTCACAAACGCCGTGCACGAGTTACTGAAATCCAGTGGGTCATTCGCGCGCACTAGTGTGTCGTGTGACTGTCGATTGATTCAGCGAGCGGAAGGGAAAACGATAACCATCTTCATTTCCACCTATACATACAAACATTTTGATAGGAACTTTTTCAAACCTTTTATTACTTGTAGAACTTTTCATGCTGTTTATTCTAAATCTACATTACGTAACAAGCCTTTTAAGTGATGAGGAGTCTACCATTAGAAGTCATTTTAATTTACTGAATTAGCGTTTTTTTATTTTTCTACATCCTGCAACAAGTTTTTATTGACCTTCGACTCAACAGATATGTGTTACGTAGTTTCGTAAAACACTTCAATATCATCAGGTCGAAATTTGTAACTTCCTGCCAGGAACGATTGGGCGAAGGAGGTGCCATAGCTGTGGCCAGATGGTGGACTGTAGGTGAATCCAAGATCTGAGTAAGAATATGTGTTGGATGAGGCGTAGCTGGCAATGAAAAGATCGTGTGCTCCTCCAAATGTAGGTCCAGAGTGAGAACAACCGAGAACGGAATCTCTGTACTGACCATACCGGCCTTGATGGGTCAGTTTCACTGGTCCCCAGCCTGGCTTGTTAACCAATGAGAACAAAAAGGTGCTCGGAGAGTCCTGGTATTCACAACTAGAAGCTGAATGACAAGTAAATAATTTAAAATATATTTCAACAGTCGATTTTCAGAGATACTTATGAAATTTTAGCAACTTTTATACAGTCAGTGTGTGCAAAGGATATCATGATAGGCTATGAAACATCACCAACCTTCCAAAAGTTATTCTGAGTATCACGTTTACCCTATTAACGGTGTCAATTACGTTTTTAGCATTTATGTTCAGCGTATATATTTATAGGCGGCGTTAGTTTTGGATGGTACTTTGTTTTTGGAATCATATTTCTTAACTCGACACAATCACGGAAAAACATTAGCAAATATCATGTGATTGGAAAGTTTTCCGCGACCGTTTGTCTGAAATATTAAGAATCTGCCTAGAAGTGGAATATCGAATTTCTCACCATTTGGCCCCGGAAGCCCGGAGAAAATCAATCCCCGAGATGACATTGGAAGTTTCCGCTGCTTTTTGCGTTCTTTAAAATTTAGAAATTTTTAAATTCACCTGCCGTGATTGAAACTTGGTGCAGGCTTCAACTGCTTTTATAAACCCTAAATGAACATATCCTTTGCTTCTTTCGCGCATCGCTCGCGTTGTGCGCTAGTAACTAATGAATAAAAGAATTCATCTGGCGGCAATTTGTTATACACAGTATCACAAAAATTCTTTCTCTTTGGCCATTGTAGCTTAATAAGAAATAGCTCACAAACTTCATGTTGGTAACTGCAATTTGTGTGCTATTGTTACCGGCCGCGGAAGGAGAGGTCGAAATCATTTACATTGAAAGGAAACATACAAGCAATATTGCGGACCAAAACGAACCTCGTGCGTTTATTTATTCTTTTTGCCATGGCAACTCGTGACAAATACGTTTACATGGGAAGGGGAGGGGTGGTGTCCGTTTTCTCAACTTATCCTCAACACTATTTCTTTTACACAGTTATACTTGAAAAGACAATCACTGACAACCCAAGATTAAAAGCACGCGGAACCAAGGTCATGATTGGTTTGTTTTGTTTACCAGGCTAGGCTATGCCTACTCAAAGGTGCCGTAGATTCCCTTGATTTTCTTTGCTTTGCCGTTTTTAGACTTTTGAATTACTATAGTATAAACAATGGGTTGAGGCTTTTTTTTTAAATTTCAAGCTAAGTTTCTTTCCAGAGGAATGTACTTGATCTGCTCACTTTTGCCTGTTTCAGCGCCTGTGTCTGACTCTGCGATAAACAGATGAACTCAATATTTTAAATTTGTAGGTGCTATTTCGCTGAGGAGAAAAATGAAAGCCACATAAATGCAATCAATGGTGCACTTACTCCATGATAAGTTTGTGTATCCACCAAAGATGTATTTTCTCACACGGACAATGGTCACCGTCGGCCCTTGGCCATCACACAACGAGTGGAAGGTAGTGCTGGCCCAACCATCAATTGATGCTCGCCAACAGCGCTTCCAGTAGGAGGACTGGCTCTGCACAACGGGCTTCAACCAATTGCTGAGTGTTCTAAGGTAATTGTTATCATTTGCCAGTATTGTAGAATGATTCAACCCTTAATACAGGAGATAAGTGTTATTTTTACAATGATTTCACCTTTCTTTGTTGATTTTCAACTCATTACTAAAAGCTTAGTTATAGGAACCTTAGATATTCAACGAACAAGGTCCAAAGCGAAGGAAATGTTCAAAGTACCTAATGGAAAGGCTTGGCTCCAATTCGTCCCGCTGATCTATTCTTAATATGGAGTGAATCTACTCAGTAAAATCTGAAGGGCTTCTCTACCTCCCGGCAGTTACTCTTACCTATGACTGAATACCTAAGAAAGAGATCTTCGTACAGAGGAGAAAAACTATGGAACTCACTTCGCGAAGATATTTGATTGTGCGAGTCTTAGCATCATTTAAAACAGAAATTAAGGATAACTCCTTCCACATCTCTTTACGTTAATACAAATATTTATTTTACATTTTAACACAATGAACTTTTTCACATTTTAAACTCAGTATCTGTAACCACACGCCCCTTTTGGATATCAGCCTAGTATATGGGGCATACATGTTTTAAACAAAGTGTAATGTGGTCGAACCTGTAGTAGCGGTACAGCATTCAGCGGTCACCCGAGTTTAAGAAATTGACTCTCAATTGAACCGTAGTGAATGCGTTGCTGACGGATGCCATACACTAGACGCAGATGTTACAGTAATTCTGTTCACTTTTGCAATAAGTAATGTCCGGAAAGCTTCAAGTAGGTCAAAATATCAAGATGTAATTTTAAACTCAGTTGTGACGGAGTATATTCGTCATGAATGTGGGTATACGTTGAAAAAATTTCAGCCATCCTAAATACTTTTTTGATAACAGACTTATAGGACAGTTTTTAAATTTCATTCTAAAACATTTTGAAGAAAGCCGAATAATAAGTACATTTCCTGAATAAAGCTTTGCAGCAAAATGATTAAAGCCTATTATTTAGTTTTTAATTTTATGAAGGTTTCCCAATGATTTCCGGAAAAGGATAACTCATTCTTTACAAATTACAATATATTATCGTCTGATCTGTCATGATGTCTCACCTGCACTGAATAAAGAGCTGCACTGAAATCCATCTCCAAGGTATCCAGCGTTACACTTGCACTTGTACGAGCCACGTTCATTTGTACACGTGGCCTGCTTGTGACAGTAATTTAGCTCATTTTCACATTCATCTAAGTCTAGTAAAGGAACAAAATGAGTTAACACCAATCTAGTACGTGAAGAGATAAAAAAAAAGTGAGCTCCAGCTTTTGGCCCATGGTGAGAAAATTGTATTATGCTGTTACGCACGACATATAAGTCTCACCTGGGAGTGTAGATAGAGACCAACGAATTCTCCTGAACGAGACGTTGACAAAATGCCAGGGTAAAAACGCGATGGACTGACATCCTACTCAGAAGACGAAGTACCTATGTTTCTCGTTGCTTTTCGCTGAGTTGTAAGCGGGGTAGGCTTCACAGGGAATGGGTCATATTTCTAAGTAATTAGGTTTTACTCTAAATTATAACTTATAAGCTTTATTTGATATGTTCCACTCACCCTTCTTACAAGTAAACCGATAACAATCACTACACTGCACGTCGTTCCATTCATAGTCGTGTTTCACACCAAGTGCGTGCGCACAATCTTCTTCTCTGAGGTTATTTGGCTGGTTCTTCGCCCACGCTGTAAAGTTTGCATGTCCACGATCCACCCAAGTAAAGTCGCCCTCTGTTGATCTGTCATTGAAACCCAGCCAGGATTTATCGCCATTATGGCGATGTTGTATGTAAACATTTTCTTCATTGTTGTTTACATCTGCAAGAACTGAGTTTTCTTGTCTGCATTCTTTTACAGCTGTGGTCCAATTTGTACAGGTATCACTTGTGTAGTAACAGAAACCATTGAAGTAGCTCCATCCGGGAGGACAGATGTCTGGAAGTGAATATGTTATTTAATCTTAATAAATTTATTATATGTTTGCATATGACACATTTTAATTGCATGAAAGTGTAACTGTAAATGTGTATGTTTGTTTCCAGTCCTCTTAAACATGCTTCATCTCTGCTGTATCTTAAAGTTTAAAAGTATTTTGCATAATTACTCACCTGTTAGGACCGCATAACTTACTGACACGGGATCATATCTGGTCACGTACAGCTCCTTGACACAGACTCTGAATCCGGAGGCATTGATATTCTGCAAACAATAAAAAGTTCTCTCTATCAACGTGAATCATGCCATTCTACATTTTTAGACTATCTCCGCACAAGATTTTGGGAAAAAACGAAAATTTAACATCTCTTTCTCCCGAGACATGGTTTTCTTCCCGGGGTTTGTTTTCTACTAAGGCGAATAAAAAAGGGTTAATGTATTCACAAAGGTTTGGTAATCCTCGATGATCACGCAAATATTTTCAATCCAATCTGAGAAATTTACCTCAATCCACGTAGAAATGCCGTTATGAACTGGTGCCAAGTTTCCGCTTGCTGTTGTGCTGTGATTTGCTGATATTTGGACGGATGGTGTCACATTGTAATTTCGTGTAAAATGCACAAACTGTCAGTAGAATGGAGAAAAAAGGGTACTTAGGGGAATTCTGGAATTTTTGTTTTCCTAAACAATTTTTTAAACTACGTTCATTTTCCAACATCGCAATTTTGCATGGAACATTTATTTTCCAAGAAGACTATAATATACCAACCTCGCAGTAAGCATTGTTGTCTTCATCTCTTGGTGCATTTGTGTTTGGAAAGTTTACAGAGCCATATTCAGTGAAGAGCGGCTTATGCAACTTAGCAAACGCCATCCAGGTCTGGGAAGAAGCAGGGCACAAAACAACACATTTAGTCATAATAAGTACAGAATTTCATTTTCTATGAGTTACAAATGATATGGGGTAAAAGACCTTTGAATTTCATGAAAAATTAATTGTAATGAAACTTATTTGTTTGAGAAGTGAGTTTGGACAATTTTTCCTTACCAAACAAAAATAACACTCGTAAAGAGTCCTGGTCAGGCTTAAGCACAACTTCAGACTTACGATTATTATACGGAATCGAGCCGATGTTTCAATGAGACTGAAAAAAAGGTCTTAATGTAAAGACTTTATCGAGTAGTGATAGAATT